GTGGGGAGGGGGCGGTGGGGACACATTGTGGGGGGGTTGGGGACGGTGACATGTGTCCCCCCCCACCCCGGCGGTGTCCCCGCAGCCATGGAGGTGTCGGGGTACTTGAACCTGGCGGCCGACATGGCCCACAACTTCACGGACGGCCTGGCCATCGGGGCCTCCTTCCTGGCGGGGACGGGGCTGGGGACGGTGACGGCGGTGACGGTGCTGCTGCACGAGCTGCCACACGAGGTGGGGGACTTCGCCATCCTCGTCCAGTCCGGCTGCAGCAAGCGCAAGGTGAGGGGGGGGCAATGTCCCCAGTGTCCCCAGTAACCCCCAGTATGCATCCCCATCTAGCCCTACTGTCTCCAGTGTCCCCAGTAACCCCCAATACATGTCCCCACCTAGATCTGCTATCCCCAGTGTCCCCAGTAACCCCCATTATGTGTCCCCATCTAGTCTTGCTGTCCCCAGTGTCCCCAGTAACCCCCAAACCCCCAGTATGCGTCCCCATGTAGCCCTGCTGTCCCCAGTGTCCCCAGTAACCCCCAGTATGTGTCCCCACCTAGCCCTACTGTCCCCAGTGTCCCCAGTACCCCCCAATATGTGTACCTACCTAGCCCTGCTGTCCCCAGTGTCCCCCAGTACGCCCCCACCTAGCCCTGCTGTCCCCAGTGTCCCCCAGTACGCCCCCACCTAGCCCTGCTGTCCCCAGTGTCCCCCAGTACGCCCCCACCTAGCCCTGCTGTCCCCAGTGTCCCCCAGTACGCCCCCACCTAGCCCTGCTGTCCCCAGTGTCCCCCAGTACGCCCCCACCTAGCCCTGCTGTCCCCAGTGTCCCCCAGTACGCCCCCACCTAGCCCTGCTGTCCCCAGTGTCCCCCAGTACGCCCCCACCTAGCCCTGCTGTCCCCAGTGTCCCCCAGTACGCCCCCACCTAGCCCTGCTGTCCCCAGTGTCCCCCAGTACGCCCCCACCTAGCCCTGCTGTCCCCAGTGTCCCCCAGTACGCCCCCACCTAGCCCTGCTGTCCCCAGTGTCCCCCAGTACGCCCCCACCTAGCCCTGCTGTCCCCAGTGTCCCCCAGTACGCCCCCACCTAGCCCTGCTGTCCCCAGTGTCCCCCAGTACGCCCCCACCTAGCCCTGCTGTCCCCAGTGTCCCCCAGTACGCCCCCACCTAGCCCTGCTGTCCCCAGTGTCCCCCAGTACGCCCCCACCTAGCCCTGCTGTCCCCAGTGTCCCCCAGTACGCCCCCACCTAGCCCTGCTGTCCCCAGTGTCCCCCAGTACGCCCCCACCTAGCCCTGCTGTCCCCAGTGTCCCCCAGTACGCCCCCACCTAGCCCTGCTGTCCCCAGTGTCCCCCAGTACGCCCCCACCTAGCCCTGCTGTCCCCAGTGTCCCCCAGTACGCCCCCACCTAGCCCTGCTGTCCCCAGTGTCCCCCAGTACGCCCCCACCTAGCCCTGCTGTCCCCAGTGTCCCCCAGTACGCCCCCACCTAGCCCTGCTGTCCCCAGTGTCCCCCAGTACGCCCCCACCTAGCCCTGCTGTCCCCAGTGTCCCCCAGTACGCCCCCACCTAGCCCTGCTGTCCCCAGTGTCCCCCAGTACGCCCCCACCTAGCCCTGCTGTCCCCAGTGTCCCCCAGTACGCCCCCACCTAGCCCTGCTGTCCCCAGTGTCCCCCAGTACGCCCCCACCTAGCCCTGCTGTCCCCAGTGTCCCCCAGTACGCCCCCACCTAGCCCTGCTGTCCCCAGTGTCCCCCAGTACGCCCCCACCTAGCCCTGCTGTCCCCAGTGTCCCCCAGTACGCCCCCACCTAGCCCTGCTGTCCCCAGTGTCCCCCAGTACGCCCCCACCTAGCCCTGCTGTCCCCAGTGTCCCCCAGTACGCCCCCACCTAGCCCTGCTGTCCCCAGTGTCCCCCAGTACGCCCCCACCTAGCCCTGCTGTCCCCAGTGTCCCCCAGTACGCCCCCACCTAGCCCTGCTGTCCCCAGTGTCCCCCAGTACGCCCCCACCTAGCCCTGCTGTCCCCAGTGTCCCCCAGTACGCCCCCACCTAGCCCTGCTGTCCCCAGTGTCCCCCAGTACGCCCCCACCTAGCCCTGCTGTCCCCAGTGTCCCCCAGTACGCCCCCACCTAGCCCTGCTGTCCCCAGTGTCCCCCAGTACGCCCCCACCTAGCCCTGCTGTCCCCAGTGTCCCCCAGTACGCCCCCACCTAGCCCTGCTGTCCCCAGTGTCCCCCAGTACGCCCCCACCTAGCCCTGCTGTCCCCAGTGTCCCCCAGTACGCCCCCACCTAGCCCTGCTGTCCCCAGTGTCCCCCAGTACGCCCCCACCTAGCCCTGCTGTCCCCAGTGTCCCCCAGTACGCCCCCACCTAGCCCTGCTGTCCCCAGTGTCCCCCAGTACGCCCCCACCTAGCCCTGCTGTCCCCAGTGTCCCCCAGTACGCCCCCACCTAGCCCTGCTGTCCCCAGTGTCCCCCAGTACGCCCCCACCTAGCCCTGCTGTCCCCAGTGTCCCCAGTAACCCCCATTATGTGTCCCCATCTAGTCTTGCTGTCCCCAGTGTCCCCAGTAACCCCCA